GTTTTGTTGGCACCCGTAAGAAGGACCTGGAGGGTCAGCTTTAGGGAAGCAAGATCCAGCAATCAGGGGGGGTGGAAGGGAGGGGGGGGGGGGTTACTATTACCCCAGAGATCAGCTTCAACCCTTTCTTAGGACAGACAGTCAGTCCTGCTAGTTTACAACTGATACTGATACTCAAAATACAAGAGGTATGTGTATTCATACTTGAATCTTGGTGTGCTTTGTGTATTTTTTCCTGCCTAGTTATCCAGCACTGAACAACTCCTGCTCTGTGCAGTTTCCTGTACTAAAGACCAGTCGCTGCTGTTCTCTCACTTTGTGTAGGGTGACTGGTCTTGTAGTTTTCTGCTGGCAGCCTGTAGTGGGAGGACCTGCTGGGTCCCTCCAGCAGCTCTGCTCTCTGTACAGGCTATGTACAGTATATGACAATGTCACTGGTACTTTTACAAGTAATATCTGGGCATGCCAAGGTATTCAGTGTACACAAAGTGGATTGATATCATTTGTGACCATTGAGGAATATATCTGAAGCTGAACTCTGGGATGAGCAAATATTGTCTAAATAGAAGAGGTGTGTGTATTCTTACTTGAACCGCAATGTGCTTTGTGGATTGCTTCCAGACCTGTGCAGTAATCCAATGTAAAACGTTGCCTCTGTTCCGGAGCTTCCTGTAATGAAGACCAGTCACTGCTGCCCTCTAGCCTTCTGCAAAGGGGCTGGTCTTGTCTATGCCCCCTCCTGTAGTTATCTGCAGGCAGCCAATAGAAGGTGGAGGCTGATGGGCCCCTCCCACAGCTCTCCTTGGGCTATGTACTGCAAGGTGATGATGCCCCCCACAGCTCTCCTTGGGCTACGTACTGCAAGGTGATGATGCCCCTGCTACTTATACAAGGCAGTACACGGGGTGCAATGGTATTTGGTACATACAAAGTGGATTTTTATCCTTTGTGGCTACTAAAAGAAGTATTGGGAGAGTAAAATGTACTCTACCCAATAGTTTGAGCCGGTGTGTGACACTGCAGTTGTCACACATTTGCTCTATAGATCAAGAACTGAGTGATCACAAACCACTGATTGTTCAGCTCACGATTGTCTCCCTGCAGAGAGCGGTGACTGCCAGTCAGGGATTCCCCTCTTTCCTCTCCCTGTTCCTCCAGTGCTCATTGGAGAGACAGATAGGGTAGGGGGTGGGCTCAGCTGACTCTGGCTCTAGAGAGGCAGAGCCAGCTGTCAATCAGGCAACAGGGTGGATGCCAACAATATTGCCGCCTGTAGCACAGCTCTGCGCTGTCAGCAGATAAGTGAAAACAGCTGTGCCCCGAGTTGAGCTTTAAGTGACAACGGCTGTGCCCCGAAATGAGCTTTAACTGCCTCCGGGCCGGCCGTAGTAAAAAAACGGCCGGCCAGGAGCTCTCTAGATCTGAGTGGGCGTCTTTAGACGTCCGCTCAGACACGCCCCCTTGCGCGCGACGCCGGGCGCGCGCGAGCGGGAGGTCGGCTAGAACTATGAGGTGAGTGAAAAGCACTCACCTCATAGTTCTCCTTTAAGTGACAACGGCTGTGCCCCGAGTTGAGCTTTAGGTGACAACGGCTGTGCCCCGAGTTGAGCTTTAAGTGACAGCGGCTGTGCCCCGAGTTGAGCTTTAAGTGACAGCGGCTGTGCCCCGAGTTGAGCTTCAGGGCAGGTTCACACCATTTACCGGACCAGATCTGCAACGCAGTGCTTTGCTTTTTGCTGCGATTTTGCCAGGTTTTGAATTTGTTTTCTTAGCTTAAAATGGTCTTACAGTTGCGTTATAGTGCGTTTGTATGCATTTTTGATGCGTTTCTATGTGTTCCAGACCAGACAAAAGACCAGCAGTATTTTTCTGGTCTGGATCGGACTGCACTGGTGTGAACAGAAGCCAGAAATAGCACAGGGATACAGTTTGGGCCTGGAAACAATCTGTTCTGGTCTGGAGATGATCCGGACATTGTGCGAATGGGCCCTTAATCGGTACAAAGCATACATAGATGGTCACTTAAACTATCATAGGTTGCTAAGCAACACAAACATGGATACCACCAACACAGAGCTGTACCTGTTGTGAGGGGCTTGGTTCATGTATCAGAAGGGTGCCTTGGCTGTACAGCACAGGGCCCTTTATTCCCCTGACCTTTACCACACTTCACACAAGGCACAGAAAACATGAAAGCAGATGCTGTGCCTCCAGTGAGCACGTCCATTCTATCAGGTCAAGGGCACCATGGCTTCCTGGAGGCAGACAGGTGACAGGACATGATCTCAATCTCAGCCAGCGTCTCCCTCCACACCAGGCCAACACACATACATACATATGACTCACCTTATCACTGCTGTTGTCCTGCTCGGGCTCCCCCGGCCCTCTCCTCCTGAGCTCAGGCATGTCACAGTGCTGAGCAGGGCTTGAGATTAGCAGCAGGTAAGTAGATACGAGAGAGATCACAGGGATGTGGAGAGTCACAGGAGGAGGAGGAGGCGGCTCACAGCGCACCCGGAAGCACGGAGGCAACAAACTCCGGTCGGTGTGTGTTCCTGCGAGAGGTGTGTGAGGAAGGCAGTCCGGTCACCGGGAGACATGAGCTGCTCACCGCTGGAGGTGCCTGTGTACTTTACCCCTCCTCTCCTCTGACAGCAGGAAGAAACGAGGAGGGGACGGCGTCCATTCAGCTCGTACAGGGGAGTGTCACCGTGAGGGAGGGGGCACCGCACATAAACATCGCACAAAACTTAGCCATGGAATACTTAGACTGGGTGAAGGCATGTGTGTCGCTGACAACGCAGCCGCATGATCACTGATGGCATTCACACTTCTGCTTCACCTCCAGCAAAGGTTTATAGCCATTGCAAGAAACTTTATTCATGGTTTTATAACCCGGATTGTATGATTATGGCTGTGGAAGGTGTAGGTGTAAACAAGTGCGCCCCCTACGGACGGCTCGGGTTCTGCGGCCTGCCAATGTTATTGTTCGTCAGAGGTCTGCAGGGGCGCAGAGACTGAATTACACTGCATTAGGGTCATCTGTAGAATTTGAAGAGGAAAGGATTGGGTGAGGCTTACATTCCTCATCCAGAAGGTGGAGATGAAGCAGTTTTACACAGGCTGTTTCTAGTGTTTGCGGTTCAGTGTATTGTATTGCTCTCAACTGTCCCTGGTGTAGGGGAAAATCCCCCTTTCCCTAATGCTACATTAGATATCACTTTTTTAGTTCTTGTGTAACTCACCCACTTTCCCTTATTCTGCATCTGATATCACTCTCTTAATTCTGGTGTAGAGAACCCCCCTTTCCCTTATTCTGCATCTGATATCACTCTCTTAATTCTGGTGTAGAGAACCCCCCTTTCCCTTATTCTGCATCTGATATCACTCTCTTAATTCTGGTGTAGAGAACCCCCCTTTCCCTTATTCTGCATCTGATATCACTCTCTTAATTCTGGTGTAGAGAACCCCCCTTTCCCTTATTCTGCATCTGATATCACTCTCTTAATTCTGGTGTAGAGAACCCCCCTTTCCCTTATTCTGCATCTGATATCACTCTCTTAATTCTGGTGTAGAGAACCCCCCTTTCCCTTATTCTGCATCTGATATCACTCTCTTAATTCTGGTGTAGAGAACCCCCCTTTCCCTTATTCTGCATCTGATATCACTCTCTTAATTCTGGTGTAGAGAACCCCCCTTTCCCTTATTCTGCATCTGATATCACTCTCTTAATTCTGGTGTAGAGAACCCCCCTTTCCCTTATTCTGCATCTGATATCACTCTCTTAATTCTGGTGTAGAGAACCCCCCTTTCCCTTATTCTGCATCTGATATCACTCTCTTAATTCTGGTGTAGAGAACCCCCCTTTCCCTTATTCTGCATCTGATATCACTCTCTTAATTCTGGTGTAGAGAACCCCCCTTTCCCTTATTCTGCATCTGATATCACTCTCTTAATTCTGGTGTAGAGAACCCCCCTTTCCCTTATTCTGCATCTGATATCACTCTCTTAATTCTGGTGTAGAGAACCCCCCTTTCCCTTATTCTGCATCTGATATCACTCTCTTAATTCTGGTGTAGAGAACCCCCCTTTCCCTTATTCTGCATCTGATATCACTCTCTTAATTCTGGTGTAGAGAACCCCCCTTTCCCTTATTCTGCATCTGATATCACTCTCTTAATTCTGGTGTAGAGAACCCCCCTTTCCCTTATTCTGCATCTGATATCACTCTCTTAATTCTGGTGTAGAGAACCCCCCTTTCCCTTATTCTGCATCTGATATCACTCTCTTAATTCTGGTGTAGAGAACCCCCCTTTCCCTTATTCTGCATCTGATATCACTCTCTTAATTCTGGTGTAGAGAACCCCCCTTTCCCTTATTCTGCATCTGATATCACTCTCTTAATTCTGGTGTAGAGAACCCCCCTTTCCCTTATTCTGCATCTGATATCACTCTCTTAATTCTGGTGTAGAGAACCCCCCTTTCCCTTATTCTGCATCTGATATCACTCTCTTAATTCTGGTGTAGAGAACCCCCCTTTCCCTTATTCTGCATCTGATATCACTCTCTTAATTCTGGTGTAGAGAACCCCCCTTTCCCTTATTCTGCATCTGATATCACTCTCTTAATTCTGGTGTAGAGAACCCCCCTTTCCCTTATTCTGCATCTGATATCACTCTCTTAATTCTGGTGTAGAGAACCCCCCTTTCCCTTATTCTGCATCTGATATCACTCTCTTAATTCTGGTGTAGAGAACCCCCCTTTCCCTTATTCTGCATCTGATATCACTCTCTTAATTCTGGTGTAGAGAACCCCCCTTTCCCTTATTCTGCATCTGATATCACTCTCTTAATTCTGGTGTAGAGAACCCCCCTTTCCCTTATTCTGCATCTGATATCACTCTCTTAATTCTGGTGTAGAGAACCCCCCTTTCCCTTATTCTGCATCTGATATCACTCTCTTAATTCTGGTGTAGAGAACCCCCCTTTCCCTTATTCTGCATCTGATATCACTCTCTTAATTCTGGTGTAGAGAACCCCCCTTTCCCTTATTCTGCATCTGATATCACTCTCTTAATTCTGGTGTAGAGAACCCCCCTTTCCCTTATTCTGCATCTGATATCACTCTCTTAATTCTGGTGTAGAGAACCCCCCTTTCCCTTATTCTGCATCTGATATCACTCTCTTAATTCTGGTGTAGAGAACCCCCCTTTCCCTTATTCTGCATCTGATATCACTCTCTTAATTCTGGTGTAGAGAACCCCCCTTTCCCTTATTCTGCATCTGATATCACTCTCTTAATTCTGGTGTAGAGAACCCCCCTTTCCCTTATTCTGCATCTGATATCACTCTCTTAATTCTGGTGTAGAGAACCCCCCTTTCCCTTATTCTGCATCTGATATCACTCTCTTAATTCTGGTGTAGAGAACCCCCCTTTCCCTTATTCTGCATCTGATATCACTCTCTTAATTCTGGTGTAGAGAACCCCCCTTTCCCTTATTCTGCATCTGATATCACTCTCTTAATTCTGGTGTAGAGAACCCCCCTTTCCCTTATTCTGCATCTGATATCACTCTCTTAATTCTGGTGTAGAGAACCCCCCTTTCCCTTATTCTGCATCTGATATCACTCTCTTAATTCTGGTGTAGAGAACCCCCCTTTCCCTTATTCTGCATCTGATATCACTCTCTTAATTCTGGTGTAGAGAACCCCCCTTTCCCTTATTCTGCATCTGATATCACTCTCTTAATTCTGGTGTAGAGAACCCCCCTTTCCCTTATTCTGCATCTGATATCACTCTCTTAATTCTGGTGTAGAGAACCCCCCTTTCCCTTATTCTGCATCTGATATCACTCTCTTAATTCTGGTGTAGAGAACCCCCCTTTCCCTTATTCTGCATCTGATATCACTCTCTTAATTCTGGTGTAGAGAACCCCCCTTTCCCTTATTCTGCATCTGATATCACTCTCTTAATTCTGGTGTAGAGAACCCCCCTTTCCCTTATTCTGCATCTGATATCACTCTCTTAATTCTGGTGTAGAGAACCCCCCTTTCCCTTATTCTGCATCTGATATCACTCTCTTAATTCTGGTGTAGAGAACCCCCCTTTCCCTTATTCTGCATCTGATATCACTCTCTTAATTCTGGTGTAGAGAACCCCCCTTTCCCTTATTCTGCATCTGATATCACTCTCTTAATTCTGGTGTAGAGAACCCCCCTTTCCCTTATTCTGCATCTGATATCACTCTCTTAATTCTGGTGTAGAGAACCCCCCTTTCCCTTATTCTGCATCTGATATCACTCTCTTAATTCTGGTGTAGAGAACCCCCCTTTCCCTTATTCTGCATCTGATATCACTCTCTTAATTCTGGTGTAGAGAACCCCCCTTTCCCTTATTCTGCATCTGATATCACTCTCTTAATTCTGGTGTAGAGAACCCCCCTTTCCCTTATTCTGCATCTGATATCACTCTCTTAATTCTGGTGTAGAGAACCCCCCTTTCCCTTATTCTGCATCTGATATCACTCTCTTAATTCTGGTGTAGAGAACCCCCCTTTCCCTTATTCTGCATCTGATATCACTCTCTTAATTCTGGTGTAGAGAACCCCCCTTTCCCTTATTCTGCATCAGATAGCACTCTGTTAGTTCTGGTGTAGAGAACCCTCCTTTCCCTTATTGTACATCTGATAGCACTCTGTTAGTTCTGGTGTGGAGAACCCCCTTTTCCCTCATTCTGCATCAGATAGCACTCTGTTAGTTCTGGTGTAGAGAACCCCCCACTCCCTTATTCTGCATCAGATAGCACTCTGTTAGTTCTGGTGTAGAGAACCCCCTTTTCCCTTATTCTGCATCAGATAGCACTCTGTTAGTTCTGGTGTAGAGAACCCTCCTTTCCCTTATTGTACATCAGATAGCACTCTATTTCTATAGCAGATATCCCTCTCTCATTTCTGGTGTAGAGAATCCCCCTTTCCCTAATTTTACATCAGATATCACTCTCTTAGTTCTTGTGTAACTCACTCACTTTCCCTTATTCTGCATCAGATAGCACTCTCTTTGTTCGGGTGTTGAGAACCCCCCTTTCCCTAATTCTGTATCAGATATGTCTCATTTCTGGTGTAGAGGATCCCCCTTTCCCTAATTCTACATCAGATATCACTCTCTCAGTTCTTGTGTAGCTAACCCCTTTCCCTAATTCTTCATCGGATATAACTCTATCATTTCTGGTGTTGAGAATCCACCTTTCCCTAATTCTATATCAGATATCGCTCTCTCATTTCTGGTGTAGAGGATCCCCCTTTCCCTAATTCTACATCAGATATCACTCTCTCAGTTCATGTGTAGCTAACCCCTTTCCCTAATTCTTCATCAGATATAACTCTATCATTTCTGGTGTAGAGAATCTCCATTCCCTTATTCTGCATTGGATGTCACACTCATTTCTGGTGTATAGAACCCCCTTTCCATTATTCTGCATCGGATATCACTCTGTTAGTTCTGGTGTAGAGAACCACCCTTTCCATTATTCTGCATCGGATATCACTCTCTTAGTTCTG